AGAAAGAAAGAAAGAAGGAAGGAAGGAGAAAGAAAGAGAAAGAGAGAGAGAGAAAGAAAGAAAGAAGGAGTTAGTTTAGGATTGCTCTACCCTGTCATTCCATGATCTATCATATATCTCATATATAACATTACTTCAGGATTTAGCACCTGAAGTAAAATGATTGTGTGCAAAGTTCTGTTTTTTTCTGATAGGTTAATTTCAGCCCTTATGATTGGACAGATGCCTGAAAATGTCTAGGGATTAAAAAACTACATTTTGAGAATGAGAAGAGAAATAATAACCAAAGTGTACTAGTCTAGTGCTGGTGTCATAAGTTTGGGGAAAAGCCAACAATTCAACAGTTCTGGAAATATGATAGGCCTAACAGTGACAAGGGAATACTAAAATTGTACATACTGAGGAAAGAAAAGCCAATCCTGCCTCACCACACCAAGAAGAAGACAAAACACCAACTTATAGCTGAAAAAGAGAGTTATTCTGTTGTGAAGTCATTCCATGTTGCTACAAGTCAAATTTTTTTAGATGGATATACAAGATGTTTCTTATTTTATGTGCTGTGTGCTGTTCCCCTGGAAAGAATAAAACTGAATGTTTAAAACAAGTGTCTTTGTAATTTTGCGTAAAGCATATATGTTAGTTAGGTGTCCTGGTGTAATTCCAAATAGAAAATTACATTTCCAGCCCAACATAGCAAAAAAAAAAAAAAGTTGTAGCAGTTTTATTTGAATCTAATTACTATTTATCCTCTACCCTAATTCTGCAGTGTGATTAACTCATTAACTTAATGTTAAAACTTCATATTTTCTACTAAAAACCAGAAAAAAAAAAAAACTTGTAATTTTTCACCAATGGGTCCTATAGATGGCTAATGCTACTATAACTCTCTCATTTAAAGGAAAAAATACTTACATTTTTACCAGTTACTTCATGAACTTTTTTACTACTGCAATTGTAGGTGTTACAGCTAATGATAATGCTAAACTAGTGGAAAAACAGCCGTGTTGGCAAACACAATTTTCCATAACTGATAGTTTACTTTTGGTTTACTGGGTTTCCAGAAGACTTCACCTTTAAGAAATTGTTCAGTTGCTTGCTATTAGCAAATGAAACAGCCTTATATTGTTATATTGTCATATTCCATTACTGAATATATGATTTCAAGATAACACATTTTGATCTCCTCTTTTTCACTCTTTCCCCAGTGAAAAGGCAGAGTCTGAAGGTTCAGATCAATGCAACAGATGACACCGTTTGCATGAGATATCTCCGACCAAGTCAAAACACCAAACTAGAAGGTTTTGTCCTGGGTTATGGAAGCAACTTCTTTTCTAATCAGTACATTCCTTTACCTTCAGAAGGAAAAAACTCTGTAACAGAACTTGGTAAGACATATTTTCTTTACATGCTTTATGGGAACTATGCATGAATTATAGGAAGAGTGAGGATAATATGAACTTTTGGGTTTCCTAAATTTTGTTTTTATTAGGTTGTTGCTCAGGTTTCTTTGTGTTTGTTTAAGGTTGCCTTGAAGAATTTCAGGTGAAAGTAGATCCTTCAAGGAGAAAAAATATTTTTTGTTGTTCAGAAAAGTTTGCTAATGGTATTTATTTTGAGGATTTTTTTTGTACCAAGAGACTGTACTAAATTGACCACGTAATAGATCAAATGGGATGGTTTGCCTAAAGTTGTAGTTGCAAAGTAGAATACAAGGGAGATATGCAAGTTTTTAACAAATAATGCAAGAAGTAGTGAAATAGTCTTGAGAACTGTGTGGTTGATTCCCTTTGACAGAAACATTTGTATCAAAATTATGTCTTTTCTGGCAGGGATCTACTGCAGTTCTACATGTTACAGAATAACCTGTAGCTTCAATGTCAGAAGTTACTGATGGAATTCCATGAGTTGTTTTATGGAAGAGATTAAACCACGTCAAGAATGTTATATTCTGTTACCTGGAACAGGGAGAAAGAATAAATAATTAAAAAATTTACATAGCAGGATTTGACCTTTTGAGAAATCTGTTTAGTCTCTAAGGGTTTTCCTGTTGCTTTCTCTAAGCTTTTCTAGCCTGAAATGAATCTGGGTTACTCCCACCATTGTAATGGTGGTGATCGTGGTGTCAAACAAGGGGGAAATAAGGACACATAAGCACAGAAGTAATAATTGCCATCTTTTTGATGAGGTCAGTTAAGGCCATTGAAGGTGTCTGCTCCAGGCTGAAAACTGCAGAATAAAATATGAAAAAAATAAGATGCTAGACACATAATAATTAAATTATTAGATACTTTGATTAGATCACTGTGGCAAAGGTTGACTTTCCTTTTCATGAGTTGTTACTCCTGGAATCTCTCTGTAATTCTATCACCAGTCCAATGTTTGACTTCATAACCATCACTTAAGCTCTGTCTGTCTTATCTGATTTATCCCACATGTAGCTTTTGCATCAGTTCACTAAGAATGATGTACAGGATTTTCTGTAGTATACGGAAATATATATACACACACATATATATGTACATATATATACATATATGTATGTATTAGGCATAATAGTACCTGTGTAACCGTATTGCAGGAGTAGTGAGGATTAATATTTTTCAGGTACTCTGAGATCTTTGGAAAGAGGAAAAAGGACTGAATGTAACATCATATGCACTGCCTATTTAATAGCAGCTTTAATACCAAATGTTTTACGAAACTGAACACAGAAAGCTCAGTGTCACCTGGAACTTAGGGGATTTTGGTATTTCGTAACCTTAATGTTAATAGCTAATACTTGGAAACTGTAGGCACCTTTCTTTAGCTCTACAGCACATCAGAGCACCAGCCACATGCGTATTCATTAAAGCTTATCATTAAGCACTCATAATCTTGAAACAATGAACCCAGAAGATGAGATACCCCACAATGCATACAATCTGTAAGAAAATGATAATTTGTCCTTTCAAACAAAGAGTATAGGTCTACACAGCAAAAAGAAATGCCTTAGAGACATGTCCTTGATTTAGCTCTTCATCCCTGGTTTCGTTAACAGAGTAGCATATCTCTTTGGAATAATTGTCCTCAGTTGGAACTGGAATATGGGAGATGAAGCAAGGAGTAACTTTTTTTCTTTAATAGATGACACAATATATATACACAATAATACATATTTCTAAAGCCCATGAGTTCCATATTTCCCACTCAGTCACTTTCGATTAAGATGAAAGTTATTCTCAGGTTTTCTGCTGGGTCACACACTTTTTATGATTCTGTTAACAAGAGACTTGAAGTCAGAAGATTTATTAATTTATGAATTTATGTGTGTATAGGTGCATATATTTTGAAAGAAATTAATAAGAACATGGTATTTCCTAGGGTTTTCAAGAGAGCTATATGGCTTTGTAGAGAGTGTGACATCCACCTACATTTCATGCATTAAAACATTCAGCACCTCACTGCAATGGTTTTTACCTTAAAATATTTGTTTTTCTTTTGCCAGTTATATAGTAAACAAGCCAGCAATTGTGCAACTTTATCTTTGAATTGGGATCTGCCTGCAGAGGGCATGTACAAAGAGAAAAGGATTCTGCTTGTTTTCCTGAACTTTTAATGAATTGATACTGGCTGGCAACAAACTCTCGAGCAGCTTCATGCATTGGTAGATAGGTTAATTTGAATCACAAGTGAAGAGTAAATTACAATGATGAGGTAACATCAAAGTTTGTTTCAAAGAAGGTTGTGTTTTTATCAGGATACCAAATGTGTTTTGCGCTGAGTGTACTTGATGAGCTTACATCACAGTAAACAACATTCTTATTGGTCATGGAAGCTATTCAGACAGTGTCAAAAGATATCCAAATGTAAATTCACCTAGACTAATGAAAAGGTAAAGAGACCCATCCAAAAGTTTTGGGTTTGACTTAGACCTTTATCTAAATTTGTTCAGTCTGCCTGACTCAAAAAGAAAGAGTATTTACCTGAGAAATTTGTGTTAGTTTGTTCTAGCTTGGCCAGGAAGGCTGCAAGCCAGCCTCCTAGAGATAGCTGATACTGTTGAAGTAACCCAAAAAATTGGGTGGAGACAATGAAATTTTGTAAGAATGAACAGTAATTACTTAACAGAGTGAACAAAATCAGTTTCCCTTTCAGTTTCTAAAACCAGCTCAGAGCTGGGCAGTGCTTTTGCTTTTCCTTTTTTAAACAAGATTTTACAGTGTAAGAGGAGAAAGTACTGGTAATCCTGCTTTATAACAACCATAATAAGTGGCACGTGAATTTTGTCCATATGTATATAGGGCAAAATTCTAGTACCCCTTTGAATACATTTTATAAAGTATAATTCAGGGATCTGTGTTAGAGCAGTCCTTAGCTGAAAGATCTTGGTGTGCAGTTTCTTATATCTGATCAATTACCAGAAAAGTGCAGATGTATTAGCTACATGCTTTCCGAGATGCCAAATCATGTGAAAATTAATTCAGCATTATGTTGCTTCCTGACAACTTCCCAAGAAACTAAATTCCCATTTTTAATGTTAGCTGACCCTAGTAGAATGGAGAATCTGGAGGAGGTCAGCAGCTGCCCCTGCATCTAAACAAGTGGATTGACCAGAAGCAGGTTCATTCATGCCAGCCTCTTTGTCCCACTTCTCTGTCTTTTCCCATGCACGATACACTGCAATACTTTCAATCCTGCCCTTTCTCCACCTTTGGCATTTGCCTTTAACAACATCCTGTAGTAAATCTTTAGCAATCCCGAAATGCAAATTAAGGAATTGCAGCCTGAAGCTAAAAAATACTTTGTTTTGATTTCTGAATTCACTGGCCTACGAATTCTAGTGATACATTTGTCACGTTTTATTTTAAAATTTATTCTGAGTTCATCAGTCAGTTCATTCTTGTGTTGTTTTGCTTCCAGCTGCATTTCTATATTGTCAGAACCCTGAACTGAATAGTATGCTTGAACAAAACCAGAATTTGTTAGCATTTTGTAGTGTATGTTAAATGCCTGCTGCCACTGATTTGATAGCCTAGCTCATGGCGCATGGAAGTAAGTGTTCTCCTATATAAGTCTGATTATGTAAGTGGCATGTATTTTTGTGAAATTGTGGTTGTCTTCATAAGCTGTTAAGGTAGATAATAAAAGCTTTTTTCTTTTAGTAATTTTATTCATTAATATAACTGAATCTTAGTCAGTTTTTTCTTTTACAATGACACCAAGGTGCTGGTTTGCTTTTGTGAAACTTTGTAGTCTTTGAAGTATTTCTTCTTTGGGAAATCGTGGGCATATCTGTATTGTGCATGTCTTTTGGACTGTCTGGATGAAAAGAAACCTGAGAAACTGAAGGAGTTGGGAAAACTATTTCGTCTAACTGGTGACAGTTCATCAAACTGTAGTAGTCGATGTTTAAGAGCTAAAACAAGATGACTGAACATTTCTGTCTAATACTTTTGAGAACTGAGAGAAAAAGCTGTAAGAATATGTACTGAACACATATGCATGTCTCTACTGTGTGTATTGAATGCTATAGATACAAATACTATCGCTTTACAAATACTGATGTCTTGGGTGTGTGACTATTCTTCCCTTCTGCTTCAGAAATCATTAGGTTAGGCATATGTGCCTGCAAGAGTGCTGTGCTTTGTTTCAAACTGGCATTGCTTTATTCTGCTGTGGACGTTTCAACTTGAAAGAGTTTTACTGATGTATTGGTGCCTCTGAACTGAATGGTCAAAACAGCCCATGTTTGGGGAATTATATCACTAAGAATTAGGCTTGGATTTGTTGGCCAGTACTTCTCTGGTACATCTGGGCATTTTCCTATAGTCCTTTGTGGCTGAAGAATTGAAGGTGGTCACTTTTTGGACATTATTTCTGATCTGAAAGGAGCTCTTAGCCAAGATATTTTTCATTCTAGCTTTAATAAAGAGGGCTAGAGAATAATAGGTTCGAACAAGTAAACTTATTAAGTTAGTCTTATAGTAGCAGCCTTCTAAGAATGTGTTAGGAATCAAGGAACCACTAAGATTTTCACAGCAAATTTGTAAATGTATTTCAAGCTGAACTTGTTAAAGTTTTCATTGATCTGTAGGGATCCTTCCTTTGTGAGGCTCTGGATGAGAGACAGGCAAATCTGTATCTTGCATCTGTCTCATATATATCTCTGTTGTATACTGATGAGTGTTGAAACGATTTCTGGAGGTAGATGCTGGATTTGTGCATTTGTGTCTAGATATTTCAACATTAATCTTAGTTATGGAACTATCCTTATCTTACTAAATACAGTTCAAAAAAATAAGAAATATTCAGTTGCAAACAGGATTGTTTTTACCCTGTGATGTGATTTGCTTTTACTTGAGGTTATAATTTCATTTTTAAAATGTACTTTTCTTTTTAAGTATATTTCAGTGTAAATAGTTGGTATATTCTCTGAATCAAAATGACATACAGTCAGTCATATTTTTATGACTGACAGTCACCTTTTGCTACCTACCTCTTATTTCAGCAGTTTATCTCTTAAGCATTAAGATGAACAAACACAAACTAAATTATGGTTTTATTTAGGTTTCAGTATTTCACAGCATTTTCTTTTTCTTTTCATGTCTTGCTCACTTCTCCCCAAGATTCCTCCTCCTTATAGACATGAATCTCTAGAGTAGATTATGCGTATATAGACATCATAAAAGAACACAGATTATTATAAAATAGTTCTTGCAGCTTGATAGAGTTTAATACATGGGTGAGGCAATGTTTCAAGGCCCTGAAAATTAATTGAGTCATAGTAGCATCAGATGATTTCCTGGTTGTGGTGACAACTGATACATACATTTCTCAGCAAGAGGACTGAATCAATGTGAAACCTCTGACATTATTAAAAGAAATGTTAAATTGCAATGGAAGACTAAGAAAGAACTTCCATTTCTAAACCTAAATCAGGACTCGTTACATGATATTACAGAAGCTGTCTGCATTTCTTGATTTCAGATGCCTTGGATATAGAACATATATTTGCCCAGAATAAAAGCACTTCAAGGCATGTGTTCTCCAGTCCGTGCATAATGGTTTAATACTGTGCATCAAACCAATGAATTTAACTTAAACTATAGTTGCTGTACTCTTAGCACCTCTCTGGTAATGTGGGTGATTCTGCTCAGGAATAATTGAATCATATTTCTAAATTAAGATATACTTTTAGTTAAGTTCAGAAGAGAAATTTAGTGTTGTATCCCAGTTATTGAATGTACTCGTTTAATAATTTCAAATTCTGATTTCAGTTATTATGATCACAATATTGTCTTAAATTCAGTGGTTCTAAACTGGACAAGTGGTACTTTTGAAACCTGCCTGTTCTATAGCAGCACTCTCTCAACATCTAACCTTAGTCCATTTTCCTAAATACTTCCTTTTATAGATGGTATTACAATCAGAAGAGCCATTTGTCTATGAAATAGGGATTTTTTTTTTTATCAAGACAACATTTGTTAAGTCCACCAAAAAAAAAGCTTAATGAGCAGCACATAACACAAAATATTTCCACAGAGAGCACTTTGTTACAGAACAAAAACACCTGTTAGAACCAATGATTCCCAAAAATTTCCTGGTTTTGTATCTTTGAGATGTGCAGAAACACATTTTCAGTCTTTGTTTATTACTACATTTTGTTTAGCAGTTAATCTATATCCATGCTGCTACATGTCATTTCAGATTTCAGCCAGAATTAATTTTTCCAGTTATGGAGCAGGGCAAAACCAACCGTTCCAAACCATTTGGATAACTTTCTTTCACAATCTTTGGAAATTTTGCTGAAAAACCTGTAATTTTTTACAGCTTTGAAGACTGACTTTGTAGTTCACAAGCTTTCAAGGTGATGTTTGAAACTAATTTTGTTGAATACTTGTGAGAGTTATATCAGCGCCACAAGTGGTCACGAATGCACAGGAGGAAACTGGGATTAAAGTGCAGGGAAATCATAATATTTTAAAATGTCACTTATTTCAAGTTTTAGGTCTCAATAGAAAAAGTATCCATATGATTACATAGATTCCAGAACATTTTTCTGTAAATGAAGATGTATTTGTACTTTGGTGTTGCTCTTTTTTTAACTAATTCTTCTGTCCACACTGCCCAGAACAGCTGTTTTCAATGCTCATCTTAGTTACTGGGTGTGGTTGAAACCATTAAAAAATGGTAATTAAACAATTTAAGTTCACCCATAGTATGGGTTTCCAGTGATTTAGATGCATAGAATCAGTGAAGTTAAGTTAGAGTGTTTTTACCCACATAGCCTTTTCAGTAGCGCAGAAAGCTTCTGTTTTTTTTCAGTACTGCTTTTCTTTTCTCTCTCCTTACAGAGATCTGGGTGTAAGAGAAAATTGAATGATTTCTTAGTGGTTCTGTTTAATTGGTAGAATTCAAGCAGTCGGTTACACTGAAATATGCAGGAAATTCAGTCTGTCATCTATAGATACAGATCTAGATAAATGTATCTAAACTAGAATAAGAATTTTATACAGATCAATGCTTTTTTATAAAAACTATAGCGAATATAATTTTGGTTGGTATATGGTGAGCCAAATTCTGCCCATGGATATCTCGCTGGAAGCTCCTACGACTTCTCTCATGTTGCAGTTCAGTGAGAATAGAGCTTGGCTTTAAGTAGTTAAGAAGGGCAGAAATCTCTGACATCTGATTTTAAGAGTAAAGGAGAATCTTATTTCTGAAGAGGAATCTCCCAAATTACATTCACCATCTCAAAATTGTTTTAGTCAAATCATTTATTATTTTAAACTCCATAGATCTTAAAGAAAACATGCCTAAAGATCACAAAGATTGGATAATGTGTCAAGCATTCACTGAATATTTGACTTTTCTTGTTAATTATAGGTTAATATATTAATCCCTGTTTCAAATAAATAGTACATCTGTACTAATTGCATTTGTCTTCATTTACAGATGCAGAGCCACGGTATTTGGTTTCAGTAAGACCAGCACGTGTTTCAAATAACAAGAAATCTTGTTCAGGTATTTTAGCATTACTGCAACTTTTTCTTGAAGTATTTGAAAGAAGACAGGGTCTTTTATGTAACTTTAATATGGAGATGACTCTCAGAATCACTGGACTGTTGCAAAAAATAAACTGATGCCCCAACCCTGGGAACACTCAAGGTCAGGCTGTGAGAAATCTGATCCAGTAATAGCTGTCCCTGCTCATTGCAGAGGGCTTGGACTTTCAAAAGGACCTTTTCAAAAGGGCCTTTAAAGGTCACTTCAAACCCAAACTACTCTCAGATCTTTATATGATTGTTTTCCTAGTTCCTGGTAACTGCTTGGGATTAATTTCTACTTGTTTTTTTGCAGGCATAAAACAGTATGTCTGGAAAGATTTTGGAAAGTGATTTACCTTTGAGATGCAACATACATTTACATATATATATCAAAAACCACAAAACCAAAAAATGCCCAATGCACTATTTGGTCATAATTAATTTTTGTATCTACAGTCTACCCTGATAACAGGATTCAAAAGGCATGAGAAGAATTAGGTCTGTTTCACAACAGTGAGAAATAGCACCGTTAGATTAGTGGCTTACAAACTTTCAGGGAATGTGTTGTCACCTGTACATTTTGAGGACGTACAGATCCTTTAGATTTTGAAGTATGTAATGTGATGCAAATAATATATCAATTTCCCTTAATTAATCATCTTCTAAACACCAGAGGTTCTCCTTAGGTTTATAGCAGTCCATAAACCACGGGCTCAGAATAGTTTCTCTAGATCGTTTGTTCATTTCCACCTTTTAGCTTTTAAACTTTTATTAAATAAAGTTCATGCTCTACACGAGAATTGTGCTCCTTCATTCAGAGCAAAGCTAAAGTGAAGGATCATGCAAAAGCTGTACATTTTCAATATAGTAGATAGTTAAAAGAGAAAAATTCCCCAGATGCAGATGCTGACTCTGATTTGCTTACATTTAAAGGCAGAAGAACTTTTGTAGGTTTTATATTACTCTTGATGAAGAACACCATGGAAAGTATCAATTATCTATGGACCTATTTGCAGTGTTAGTAAGAAATCTGCCCAGAAATTACTATTTCTGTCACATCCAAAGAGAGACTTCCTGATATCCTGAACTCTGTGTCATACCTCCTGTGGTATGGGCCAAGACAGCCAGAGCCTTGAATTGAATCTATGTATACCTTATTCTTGTACTAACCATACCCAAATCATGAATTGCTCATTTTAAAAACTAGATTTAACTGGAATATTAGGATGAAAAAAGACGTCAGACACTGCCTCTGCCCCTTTTGTAAATCATACATTAGAAATGGTGACTGTGAAAAAAAGAGAACTGTTGCATCTTTCCCTTCAAGCTTAGAAGTGAAGTAGGCCTTCATTTACTTTACTATCCAACTGCAGGAGAGAGAAACTAACTTTATATATTTTGTATGTAGGTCGGACCAAGACACAAAAGCCTCTGCAGCTGGTAGTTGGCACTCTCACCCCAACCTCTGTGTTTCTCTCTTGGGGCATCCTAGTCAACCCTCAACATGACTGGACAGCAACTAGTAACTGTGCTAGTGACAGGTAACATAACAGAAAATCCTTTTTTTTATTACTCTCTTGATTTAACTCAGTGTAACTCTGCTGTGCCTAAAATAAGTTTTAAAGTGGAAATTAAAATGTTGGGAACAATATTTCTGAATGTGAAGTAAATTTTCTCACTCATTTGATGCTTTGAAAGTCTTTATTTGTCTTGAGTGAAAATTTAGTCAGAAATCTACACGCTGAAGTAAAAATCTTGCTATTTCACAGTACATCCTTTGTTCTTAAACCAATTGCCTTGACTCTACCTTCAGTTCTATCTTAATCAATTGAAAGAACTTTGTTAAATCATAGGAAAATTTTTTTTAAAGTTGGCTGAATAAAAGTAAGAGAATTCTTTTGTTGTGCTGTGATAGGGGAATGATGCCTTGTTTTAATGCTGTTTGATTTTTGTTTCCTATATCTGATCTTATCACTGAAACAACTTTCCTGATCTTGATATAATACAGCTTTCATTAATTTTTCTGTTGTAAGTAAAATAAGATCTCTTCTACTGTAACATATTTGGTGTGCTGCAATTATTTAATGGGTGTTACAGTAGATGGAGAGCTCACAAAGACTCACCAAGTAGCAGTTTCAAGAGAAGTCACAGTGCTGGGGAACTTCTCATTAAAGTGTACTCATACATTTTAGGCAACTCTTGGAAGATTAATAAAATTCGCTTTGCAATTATTTAAATTGTTAATACAGATGTTTTCCCTGCTTTGTCATTTTGGTGTTCTCTTTGTATTCTTCCTTTTATGACAGAAGAATTTTTTTGCCTTCATTTACATTGTGTGAAGCTCCATTTGACTCAGCAGTGTTTGGTAAAACCATGCAGTTGTTAAACCATGTAAAACCATGCATTTTTTTCATTATTCAGAACGTTTTTTTCCCTGTCTAATATTTGTCTACGTGCTGTCTAATTTAGACTTGAATCTGCTTACTTTGGTGTTCGTAATAGAACTCCCATTGATGCCATTAAACTGAATGTCAAACATACATTATGTCAAAAAAAACATCCCATGTTACCAATATGCCCTTTTTCTTAACTCTCAAAAGTTTTGGACTAAACCTTTTCAACCTTCAAAAATTTCTCCTGAACAAATTCGGATCTTCCTCACCAACCAGAATTTCAAACACTTTTGAAGAAAACGATGTTAATGTTTATTAGGAAATTTCCAAAAATGCAATTTGATTGGACTTTTTTTTCAGTAGAAGTAAAAGTTGGTTTAGGCTTAAATTTTGCTCTTTCGTTCAAGAAAGAAGCAAATATTTTCCTCCTGTGAGCAATCGAAGAAATGAGCTGATCATGGAATAGAAAAACTATTAATTTATGATAATTTGAATGGCAGTTGATAACGTACGATAAGAAAAAATTAGGAAGTAGTCCACTCTTAGCAAGTTAGCATTGTGTTAAAAGTATAAGACTTAAAAAGCAGTTAATGGATTCATCAACGTTTCTGTCTATTGCAGGGGAATTCTACTCACTTACTTGATCCTTTTTCATCTGGTGTGTTCTCCTTACTGTGACATGTTGCTGTGTACTGTTAATCGTTCTCAAAACTGCTGTTACTGACTAACCTCCAATCTTTGACATTGGCATTATGTGGCAGTTAGGACCTCCTAACTCAATTCTGTCAGTAAATATCCCACCATGTTTTAGATTTGTAACTCTGTATGTCTTGAGATGGAATTATTGTTCTTGGCCTCAGATTTTACCACCCCTGGGTGGACATTAGGCTTTTGTACAAATGTTGCATAATATAAGTTATTTGAACATGTTGCTGACTCAGAAGATGAAAACCACATGGAATAGCACAGATCTGCTGGCCAAGATTTCCTCTGGTGCGAGTCTGATCTCAGTGGGATATTCCTTAGAAGATCTGGTTTTGTAAGCAAATGAGTTTTGAATTAGAAGTGCCATGCTCTAAAAGAGCATTGGTATCTTTTACTGCTTCAGTGAAATTTTTGCTTGCTTCTTGAAGCCACATAGTGGTCTTCTGAATCTACAAAGTGCTTTTTAAGAAACTCCAGTGAAGAAAAATTTCCTGTGACATTTTTCAACAAACCATTCTTTGCTTTCTTAACTCTAGAGATTAAGGGCATAAGCCAATAGAGTGCTGTGTATTTCCTTCAAGATAACCCCAAGTGCTAATTTCTTGTTGAAGCAAAGGTATTCACTGCCATTTTTGTGGACCAAAGCTCTTTGAAAGGTCAAATTTTGAAGCCTTATTGAAGCGACACTTAATCTCTGACCAGAACCTTATGAAGTGACTACTATCTCTGATCAGAGCCTTAACACTAGAACATAAAACCAAATAAAAAGACCTAAACCAAAAAACTCAAGTGATTAGTTCTATGTAACTGATGAAACCTGCATGACACCAGAAAGATTCCACTATGTGGAGTTAGCTTCTCAACATCCTCCTTTTTCTTGCACCAGTGTGGGACAGTTGATGAGGGAGGATGGGAAAGTCATGATAACCTACTACACAGTTCCTCTTTTTGTTGTTTCCAGGAGAATAGAGACTTGTTTTCTCTCTGCCTCTCTATGTTCAAACAAACATTAGTGGACAGAGCTGCCATAGAGCTGGGGTTACCTTTACTGCCCATTTAGGTCTGAAAAAGAGAGACTACTGTATAGATTTTTCTTTTTTTGCATTTGCTTTGATTAGAACAACTCTGAAGATCCCAAAATGAAGCTGTTGGTCAAAAAAGATGGACTTTAACTTTCAGTTCTTTAGGAGGGAAAGTCAGGGGAAGGAACAGAAAATGTTATTTTTCATGTTAGACAAACACAGGGTGTGTAGATACAGTAAAATATAGTCTTCTATTGAGTGGATTGTATAGAAAAACAAATATGCTTTCAGACACATGCAAAATAGAAACTTAAAGCCTGAAAGTATTTTTTTAAGTTAAAAACTTTGACAAATTCCGACTGACATTGTTTAAACTTGTTTGCCCATGATCCTAATGTTGTACTTGCAAATGGTGCGTATTTTGTGGTTTATTTAGTTTGTATCTGATGCTTTTTTTTTAAAAAAAAGGAAATAGTGAGCGAAAAACAGAGAAAAATCCATACTCAGTCTATGCAGTATCCATTGTATAGTACATAGAAGTGGAGCTTTTAAAACCCTAAATTCAGAAATATATGTGCCTGTCTACTTCTGTTCCCATCTACAAACCTCTCACTATGCAGTTGCCAACTTAATCATACTTTGTGTCATACAAAATGTATTTTAAACTTAGAAGAATTTTTTTAAGGAAAACATACAGCAGCAAATGCACTTCTTGAGTTTCAGATGCTTTTCAGCTACTGCTGTGGGAGCACATGCTAAAGGCCTGTCTAAACACGGAATGATTTGTTACTCTTCAGCCTCTCATTCTTCAGAGCTCTCACTCTTCAATTTCTTTCAGTCATTCTACTAAAAAATTTACATGAAGAAAATGCATGTTAGCGATCATGTAAAATTGAAAACTAAATTAGAAAATGCTTTGCAAACTTAACTGTAATTCTTTCCATCTTTATATATATGTCTGTCTGTTACTTTAAAGTAAACTTGGCAATAAAAAGGGAAATAATATAACCAAAATAATATAATCAACTCCATGTGCCAACTTGTGAAACACTCTGTATCTGAAAAATCAAAGTTCAAACCATTTCTTTTATTACTTTCTAGCACTAAATGGATGCTGTGCTTCTAATGAAGTGTAACAATAAACAAATAAATGAATATATTTTTATTATTAATATTCTTTTAAAAAGTCTGATTACATTCCTATGCACAAAAATGAAATGAGTCTTTCAATTTTTGTCTCTGGCAACATGAAATGACAGAGCCGGAATGTTCTTATATCTCCAAGGCTTAATTGTTTGTTTAGTGTTACGTTTGACTAAAATAGTCATGATTAAATTGTTTGGAGTTTTGGTTGGGATCTGGTTCCAAATAAAGCCATGATATTTATACAAACTGACCTACTCTGGAAATCTCATAAAACCATCTGCCTTATAAGATTTCCAGTATCTAATTTTTTGTGCCTGAATACTTGACTGTGCGAGCGTTTTCTGGAAATCTGACTGAAAAGAGATTTGGTGAAAAACTGGAAAAATAGCACCGGAACTCTCGGTGAGACAGAGTCATTCATAGTGATAGTGATACAAAAAATAATGTTTTGCCTATCCATCTTAGAATTTTACTTCTTTTAGCAGCAAACAAGATCTGCTTAATTTCAAAAGCAAAAATTCTGTGTGCTGCTTTTTTAAAGTGCTCATTATTTTGATTTCTAGTGTAATCAAGAGGCTATCTCTAAGCAGAGCACTGCCTTGCATCGTAGAGTTTTAAAAAACTAACTATGTAAATTGAACATAGAAGAGAAACATCCTTCTGTGTTGGGCTGAGAGTCTTGTATCAGCTTTTCCAACAGAGTAATCACTACAGTGGTTGGCTTACAGAGTATTATCGTAATTTGTGGCTTCCTTTAAATAACGAAATTGGTCTTATTTTATTTCTGCCATCACATTTTGTGTTCATCTTACGGGGAGGCAAGAAAAGTCAGAATATTGCAAAAGATATAGCTTGTTAATGTGGGCAGAGTTTCAAGAAGGTAGATGTTAAACATACCACAGTGCTGCACAAATACATACGGAGAGAGGCAGTCTTGGCAAATGTAGCCTCTTTATTCCTTTACCATGGTGGGTTCAATTTCTTGTTTTGGGTTGTTTGTTTTTGTGGTTGTTGTTGTTTTTGGTTGGGTTTTTTTTGTCATTATTACATGAATTAGCTATTCTAAGTGGAACAGTATCCCTCACCTGCTTATGACACCTTTTGTTTTAAGTTGTTGGAGCTTATTATGCTTTCAGTTGTCCAGTAAAAACAGAGGAGGTAAAATTTCTCTACAGTCCCCCGGGGTGGCTTGATGGGAGGTATCCTCTAATAAGTGAAGCATTGCCTGTTAGGGGGAGCGGTATAGGTACTAATTTTTATGGAGCTTAACGAAAGAGCTCTAATGTTTTATAGAGTGTTAGCTGGAAAAGAAATGAAGTGAACCCTGCGATCTTTTGATTAGCATTTGTTGTAAATAGAAATACAAGAGTTATTCAATAAACATTGTTCTGATAAAATGTACCCTTTTCATATGGCTCACCAAAACAAATAAAGAATCAACATTAAATCAACAGTTATATGTGTTGAGTGTTTGACAGTGTATTTTTTATGAAACGAAGGTTTGAAAAAGGAAGAAATTAAAATTATAACAAAATTCAATTGGTAAAATGTTCTCAGTCAGGCATTGAAATTGCATTTTATTCAGATGTTTGTGGTTCTGGTTTAACAATGAATTGTTGTTCTTTTACGACAAAACTTGGCATTTCTGGATTTGTACTCTATAAACAAATGATTGCATTTCCCCAAAAGTGCGTGTTGTATACAATTTGGATATTTTTGATAGTTAAACGATCGTGACTTGCAAATTGTTAAATGGAACTTCATTTTTGTTGCTTTTTATTGAAATGGTTGAGGAAATTCTGTCATCGCAGCCAGTGTTTTTAGTATGCACTATGGCAAGTTTTCACTGAAATAATTATATGCTTGGTGAAGTTTTTGCAGGCTTGGAAATCTTGGATTTGAGAGACCATTTCTTCTGTGCTATATGTTTCTCTTTCTAATGGCATAGTTTGACATAACTGTGAAAATCTTGTCGGTTTTTTTAGTAGTTTTGAATTTTAGTGAAAGATTTTTTTTGTTGTGCAAGTGTTGTTGGTATTTTAATTCATGCTAGGGTGAAGGATTTTGCAGGTATGGAGGCAGCAATCAAAAATAGAATATTTTTTTCCTTAGAAGAAAGTGGGAACAGCCACTTAAAATCCTCTTCACTGTGAACAAGTTTTTAGTGGTTTTTTTCGTCATTTCTGTTACAGGTATTCATTTAGACTGTTCAATAACTGAAATGAATCAGTATACTCTTTTTTTTCCCATCACATAAAATCACTTTGTTTCTATCCCATTGAACTAAAACAGGTAGGAAAATGTACAGATGAAGAAGAAAACAAATGAAAATTCCTCTTTCAGGCATGGTGCGAAGAAGGTGGCTATTTCCACTTGAGATTAACATTTTGATCATAGATCTATCTATACTTATTCAAAATTCCTTACCAAAAAAGTGTACAGGATCCAACAAGACGCATTTATGTTGAAGGTTGGATTTGCTTATTACTGCTATATCCTTTGCCTTTGACATGGAGTTCAAGTAAGCTTTTCCTGTTAATGTCTGAGTGACTACACATTAATGGATTAAGAGGATAAAGGAGAAGAAATTTTCCTTATTTTACTGTTGCCAATAGTTTCTTGTTAAAAATGTTCTTTGCCAGCTTAACTGATAATTAGATCTATTGTTTTACATATGAAATTTGCATGGATCACAACCCACAGAAGTAAGGAGCAGATTATTCCTTAGTAGGAGTTTATAAGAGAGAGGATATTCACTACTTCTCTTTTTTTTTTGTCTTTTCTTTTCCTTTCCTTTTGAAGTTTTTAAATTATACTATTCTTGCTTTGAACACAAAGTAGTACAGCTAATGAAGAGTTACATGAGCCAACATAAATATTGATTTTGTAACCTGGCGAAGTACCTGAATGAACTGAATTGTAGCAACTAATACACAAGAATCTATATTTTTGGTGCCAAGAAAAAAAATTGATAGTTATAAGATAAAATATATAAATAGAGTGAATCATTGTGTATGCAAATATTTTCCATGATTGATACTTGCCTTGTCTTATGTCGTGTTTTAATAATGAAGTAGGAATTTCCTTGTATTCAACATGTTTCACATGTACTGTACTCTGAAAGCGCTCTTCTATAAATTTGGCAAAGGCAGCTTTGTGCATTGACTACATTATATTTGGTCCACCAAGTAATTTTATTCTGGACCTTTGATACCTTTTCAGTTGATTAAAGAACTTTTTTTGGTTGGTTTTTTTCCTTAAGTTCGTTTCCTTTGTCTCCATACATTTGCCTATATAATACCTGGAATAAATCTCACAATCTTAAGTTGCAAACCTTAAATTGCTCTGTTAAAGTGTGGCAAAATAAAATTGGGTGGAATTCATTCTTTTTCAGATGATGTAAATGTGAAATGGATATGGGCAATGGATATGCATTATTTATGTTATGTGTTACAGTCTTTGGTAATACTTGGATTAGAAAGTTGCCAAGTCTCTCTGAGATTTGTTTTTACAAAACCAGAAATCTCCAATCCATTCTGGTAGTGATTCAGCATATGTATTGAAAACGAGACTATAGTAGGCTGGGGAGTTCTTGTGGTGAAGCTCTCACCATTTCCATTGCATTCTTATATTCGTTAGCATTGCAGTCATACTTTGTCAGGGTGGTGCTGCTTGATAGAATTGGGCAATTTCTGTAGAAATGTTTTTTAATTTCATAATCTGTTAGCATTTGTCACACTACTGATTTAAACTGCTAAAATTAATGTCTTGGTTTATTTTCTTGTTTGAAGTGTGGGCAACGCATAATGGGATCACTGAATGAGGAATGTATTATACAAACATCAACTATTAATGGTATTCTCTTGAGAATGTTTTGGACTAGTTTTGAGGGAACACCTTTCACTGGGTTGATATAGAAGATTCTTGAGAAGTCGGTTGAGTAGTAGACACATGATTCTATTGACTAGTTCTGACATATGTCAGAATCACGGGAACTGCTTGCAAAATGAGGTAGCAGTTTGTGGTTAGAACCTCGTTCACAGGGTTGTTTGTGAAGAGGAGACTGTTCTTTTGCCCTTCTTATAATGTCCTGGTCTGTACGATGGGGTGTATATATGTGAAATATATGCTGGCTTTCTGATATTTGATGACCAAAAAGGGCCAGAAAGAACAAGAACAATGGAACGGTGGTGGGTAGAAGTTATTTTATTAATTCTTCACAAAAATTGTTGTTGTTTCTTTGTGTAGATTTTTCTCTTTTTTTTTTCTCAACCAGGTTCTATACAGTTCGCTACAGAGAAAAGGGTAAAGACAAGAAATGGGTTTTTCAGCTCTGCCCAGTTACGGAAACTGTGATTGACAATTTGAAGCCAAACACACAGTATGAATTTGGAGTTAAAGACAATGTAGAGGATAGTATTTGGAGCAAGACTTTCAATCATAAGACAGTTCTCTCTAGTAAGTATTTGACAATAATTAATCATATAACTACTCAGTTTGACAGTATTTTTTCCTCTATTGTGGTACTAGTTAGAGTAAGGCTACTGATCAGGTTTCTATTGTTTAAATGCTATCCTTTATGCCCCTAACAAATTATTTTAGGAATTGGTGAGACTAGAAACGTTTTGTGCTTGAAAAACTGCCGCCTACTTTCTGAAAGATGTTCTCTTGTCATTGTCACTGGTGGAACTCTAACAGTGATTAGTTCAGATACACATAAAGTGTTGAGTATGTGTATTTATACTTCTGACTGTATTCTAAGGTTTTTCCTTAGGTCGTGAATAATAAGATGATCAACTAATCAAGTAATCCATCAACCATCATCCAACTAATCCACTTAATTTCTTCCAACAACTAATTTGAGTTGATGGAAATGATTATCCTTATTTGAATCTCCTTTTATGCCTGCATTTATGTGGAAGGTGGTAAAAAGCTAGGCAGGGCCTGTCTTATCCAGCATGCATCACAATGGGCCCTTTCTGACTCTTCTAGAAAATTAAATTTGAAGCTAATTTTTAGTCATGGAATTACATGAACTGTGTTTGAAGCATGCACTGTCATGTTGTTTGTGTTTTCACTGAGGCAGTGTATTACATCTCTGGCTGTTCTATCAGTCATATTTGAAGGTTTTTCTCTAAAGTCCCAAGACAATGTAGGCAAAGGGATGTCAAATTAACCCTAGAAAAACACATGTACTGTTCAAAGAATCACTTATATCATTAGAGGAAATGGGCATCAGCAGAGTCTTCCTCTTTCTAATGAGAGGAACAGAGCACTTAACAGATATTGTCCAATTTAATTTATTTTCCACAAGCATGGTATTTCTGAACTGTGGTGTTGGTCAGAAGATGCTGCAAACTCCTATGCTTAGTATTTTTAGCTTGACTCAAACTGTAAAGAACAGGCATTCTCATAAGAGAGCCTTATTCATGTGAGATTTCCAGCTGAAATTTGATTTCGGCCTCAGTTACACAGCTTGAGGATGAGGGAGGGGAACAGTATGGTGTCTACTAACATTGCAAAAGCCTTCATACTCCCTAATAAAGGACTTTGTTGGCCTTCACTATAAAGTACAAAGCTTTAACTTTGAAGTACCTCCCCAGTGTCTATAGAGTCGTTTCAACAGTCCAGAATAATGCCATTGTTATACCACGAGCTTAAAGTATATCTGCCTTGTAAAAAGAAACTGCTTCTCAGCACTAAAAATGGCTTACTAAATTGCTTGTTTTTCTACATTTCAAACATCTTAAAGTCATCCATAGAGTGAGTGCTGAAATATATTTGAGTACTTAAAATAGGAGGAATTAAAGAGTGCATAGTGTTTATAGTTTAATACTGTGTTTGAGAGCAGCAAAAACATTCACTGGAATCACCAAATTTTCTCCTTGTATATAATCTATTTCTAAATGCTGTTTCTTATAGTCATTTTACATTTTTAATAGGCCAGGAGAATCATTCTTCTAGGTTTATGGAGACGGATTGACTTTGGTTGAAAATACTTTCTTGTAAGAGTTCATATTCTATGTAAAAGAGATTCCTTTTTGCTGGAATGTAAACCTGTGTATTCAGTGGATGCTTCTGCAGTATCTAAATACAGGGAGCTTGTGATTACCCTGCATGTCTGCATTCTGGTCTACTGATAAAGTATCTTCTACTCAGAAAGTTGTCAGTATGTTTCAGATTCAAGCCTTTCATGGCTTAGTAAATATATAGTAGATAGATACATAAAATATGGACAGTGAACAGAGAGTATATATTTATTATAAATTTATAACTAACTGTGTGCATAAGAATTTACCAATCAGCGCAAATGGCCACTTCTTTTCTCTTTCAGTCTCCTGTCTTGTAGTAACTCAATGTCTTCTCATATAGGAGAACCTTAACCAAACATCCTTCACTGAAGAAATATATAAACTACCATAAACTGAAACTTCTTTTACATATTCTCGTATGTGTTGAATCCACAGGCCAAATGTTGGGAGGAATTGGGAGGCGAATCTGTTTTTAATTTATGATTTGAGAAGACATAAAAGACATGGCAAATATTCAGTATTTATCTAACCAAAATTTTTCAAAAGAGATGAAAGTAGCTCATTTTTTACCATCTTAACATGATTTTCTCATGACATCAGTGTGAAACTTCTGTCAGTTTTCCCTTGTCTTTAGTCCAGTAGTAGGTCCTGTTCTTTAAAACTATCAAGCACTTTGAAAGATTTTTTCCAACTTAAATGTATCTAAATCGATTTTTCTTTAGAGTTGAATTTTTTTTCTATTACTCATCTGTTTTGGATGGAATTGTGAACAAATATGACAATATGTAGCTTTACTCTTGTTTGCACACCTGTTGTTACAGAGGGAGCAGAAAAGTGTAAATGTGGAAGATATAGACAAAATTTGAAGCATCACGCTAGATTAGAAGAGGTGCTGAGCAGGACTATTTTTCATCTGTACTCAACAGCTGCATCACAAGAAGATTTTAATACTAAGAAACTAAGAGGAAAAGCCTAACAGAAAACTTTCAGAGTTTAAATCTGTGGGTTACTTTGTTCATATGTTGAGATAAACGAAACCATGTCAGACCCAAAGAAAAGTGATATATCTGCTCTCTATTGCCAGTGCTAAATGTGTATTTTTTTAGAAGAGCATACTTAAAAGCATACTTGATATTGGAGACCTTCAAACAAGCTGCTTTTAGTAAGTCCTAGTACCAACCTGACAGATGGGATGCAGAAATTCCTCTTTCAAGTTTGTTCCTTGTATATTAGTCTTGTGGTTATATTAATTTTATTAAGGAATCCTCTTAAGCACCTCTGGCTTACTAAGGAGTAGTAAGTCTCAAAGACCACTTCAGCTCTCTTGTAGAACAAGAATACTTTTCATTTCCTTGCTGTCAAAATGCGAAGAGAAGGCTTTGCAGACGTATTAATTGATCTTAAGAAACAGGACAAAATAAAATTGTTCCACAGTGTAGCTAAGCCCCCTAACTTTCCTAGCTATTGGAAAAGGTGAATAAACTTGGGTTATTGTGCTTTGGACAAAAAAAAATGTAATTCTGTGTATTTATTTATCTTTCTGTCAAAACAGATAAAAAAGTAAATGGGCAATTCCAGAATATGTACAAGTTGGTACCCAATTCCCAAACACAGGTATGCAAAACAATCTTATTTTTTATACTAGATTTGTGATTTGTATGATCAAAAATTTTTCTTCTCTGTTAAATTAAGAAATACATTATAAAGGCCACAAATTGCCAATATAAAAAACCAATCTGTTAAATCTAAGACCTGATAACTGTATGGAGAAATGTTTATATGTGTGGATTGACAAAATTATTAAGAATGGTAGCTGAGATTATTATTTATTAATAATGATATACTTATTCCAAATTAACAAAGATAGAGCTGATGGTTTCTGTGTGTGGATTCTAAACTTAAAATTTACTTATCCCTTTGTAGTAGACAGGTTTGTTAACCTGTGATATTTGTTGTGGTCAGTAAATTTTGTAATAATCTGGTGCTGTGGTTTTATAGAGTAATCTTGTATTTACGCAGATCTTCTAAAACATTATTCATCCTTTTAAATTCACTGATAGTTCCCATGTGTGAGGCAAGTGCTTGCAGAACCAGAGGAAGCTGGGAAGTGCAATTTAATTTGCCTTTAATTTGCAATCAAGATTGCTAGACAGTTCATTAAATCTTTGCATGTGGCAAGGTAGAATTTTTCTGTTTCATCAAAAATTTGATGATTTTTATACATTAATAAATAAAAAATCTGGCATTTGACATAAATGCTAGCCAGCAAGCTTGGGTGGATTCATATGTTCATGGATTCACACACACGGATACTTTTTACTTCCAAAAGCTGAGGGAGAAATGAAGACTCTCTAGATTGAACCAGTTACTAGACTATTTTAATACAGTGAAAAATAAACATTTTTTCATAACTTTTGAGCATTACCTGTTCTACTATGAGATTAAATGGTTTCTTCATATTTATTTTCCTTAATTTTTCATCAAAGGGCACGTTTCAGCATCTAATCTGGAGGTTGTTTTATTTTGTTTTGTTTTGTTTTAAGGTACTATCCCTGAGGTAGACTATGGGATAACTTCCCAAGAAAAGTTGTAGAAACCCTTCTTACTTCAGATATGTTAAAGGGTTAAGTCATGAGTGTTAATTATTATAAAGGAACAAACCATTCTTCACAATTCTCTTCTGTCTCAGATTTTCCAAGAGTTTTCATGGTAGGAAATGTTAATGTATGGTTTCTCATTGTCTGTTCCTCATATTTTACAGTATTGTAAATGGTCTGTAATTATCAGACCCGGAATTCCTTCAGGAATCAAAACACAATTCATTACACAGTTTCTTCTACGAATAATTAGGTATGAATAGAATCATAGAACCATTAATGTTGGAAAACACCTTCAAGATCCTCAAGTCCAACTGTCTACTCAGCACCACCACCAAGTTTACTATTAAACCATGTCCTCAACTGCCATATCCACACATTTTTGAACACTTCTAGTGACGATGACTCCACCACTTCCCTATGTAGTCTGATCCAATGCTTGACACCCCTTTCTGTGAAAAAGAATTTCCCTAATGTCTAATCTAAATCTCCCTGATGCAACTTGATGCCATTTACATTCATTTAGGACAGTAATACGTTAATTATTGCATTACATATAGAGTTAGAGCAATATAATGCTTAGGTTATTGGAAATATAGTCATGTCTTGCATTCAAGAGAAAATGAGTAATATAGATGCAGCTGGTTAGATATTCAGGAAGGTGACATCTCATTATGTCGATGGAAGTCAACTTTACTGTTCTTCCAATTGGTCCCATAAGGGTCTTTAAAGTTACACAGGACAGCCCAAGATCAGGTAATTGAATCTGGCATATGGAGTGCAAGCTGAGTGCCTTTGCTCCTCTTAGCAAACCCTGTGTGCCAGGACCCTGACTGTTATGCTGCTTCTGTGGAAGTAGCGATTCTATTTATGCAGAAGTCCTGAGAAAGTGAGCTGAAACAGTTTTCCAAATATTTGCACAGCTTAAGCAAGAACAGAGGACTAGAGCCAACATCCAGTCTTTTTAGTCAGTTTCACAGGGCTTAGCTCCAGAGCAGAACTACTTTATCACCCTCCACAGGAATATCATGAAAACATTCCACAGATTATTCTGAAAAGTCTTCTATCATTCTCACTGTAGTGGTGGAAAAAGCCATAAAACTAAGGCTGGGAAGCAGACAGTGGCCTGCTCTTCAGTGTGCATTACTACCTCAGTTTCCACGGTATTAGGTGGGGTATGTTTCAGTGGTGAAAAGCCAGAATGAGTGTTATTTAGGCCAAGCTTTTTTTGCTCCAAAGACACAACTGACTCATATCAGCATGGTCCTAACTCTTCTCTGTGAGGACGTTTTTAAAGGCTGTTTGTTAAAGTAACATTACTGGTCTATCTAGTCATTCTGCCCTTTCAACATTGGTCACACATCAGCTTGTGTTTCTTTTGGCAGTTTCATTCTTTAAGTTTGTCCAAGCTCCTGGGGCTATGTGAGCTACAACTAATGAGAGAGCAGAAGAAAAGGAGAGTTCTAGAGATGGTCAATTTTCTTCCCTTCATAAAAAATGGGTGATGGTAGGGCAGAGAGAACGCAGTAAAAATTTATTTCCTCCTCTGTCTGATTAGGTTCCTGTAGTTTCATAATATCAGTCTGAAAGGTGGGGTCCTCCTCAATTTTTCCAGCCAAAAAGGACTCAGCTTCCACCATTTGTTAAATTGCAGAAGAAAACATTCTGACTCTTCCAAAACTTATTCAATCCTTTTTGACCATGATCCTTCCTTGAGGAGTCTCCTACGTGTATGCCGGTTAGTTTTGGCTTTTTGAAATACTGGAATGTAGCAGAGAAAGAAAGAACAAGTGTCTCTTCAAATAATGTTGCCATGTGTTGCTTCAGAGAACATTTGAGATTTGCAGTCCTTGATGCAATACGCCTTTTGTATATGGTCAGAAATTAAGATGTCTGACTTGTGGCATAATTTACATCTCTAATTTTCCTCAGAAATACCATAGGAATACCTTATTTGCCATCTTCTTTCATGATGGCAACAGTCATTTTAGTAACTAATGTTCCTAATACCGATATGCTTTATATTCTGTGTCTGAAAAATATGATTGATAGTGTCGTTCCTACAGATGATGGGTTGATGTTTCCAAAATAGTTTGTCTAAGTAATAAATTTTACTAGACATAGAAATATCTAAAGTAGTCACTTTTTGAAGACTGAGAAGAAAACTTTTACAACATGGTGGTAGCTTTCAAGTGCAGCACTTATAGATTCATGCAGGTGAGCAGTGTAACTACAACAACTGGGGAACAAGGATTTCATGTCAAAAACTAAAATTTTGAATGTATTTAAATGTCTTTGGCATTTTTATATTGCTGTCATTACAGTCATCCATTATTATTCAAAAAAGAAAGAATGCTCTTGTCAATACAAGAACCTTTTAGTGGTGATAATTATGATTAGAAGTTCTGCAGTAGTGTTACACAAGTTCTCACTACAACTTCAGAGCTGTTTATTTGATTGTATTTCTGATGAGAAATACAATAAAATTAACACCTTCTTATGATAAATACATTTCATCCCATTTGCTAGTCACATGAAGAGTAGGGCTACTTCAGAAGGTGCTCATCTGCAATACAATTTTTTTACTAGAAGACAAAATAGAAATGTAAAAATTGTTAATAAAAAAGGAAAAACATAAGCAATAAAAAAGGAAAAACATAAGCAATAAAAAAGGAAGAGTCTCTTCCATCCTTCGTTAATGACAATGATTGAAACCTCCACTTAATTTAAGACCATGTTCATGCCAATGCAAAACTGGTATTAGGTAGCAGAAAGTAATGGTTGTCATAGAATAACTAGCCTCCATCCATTTCCCTAAGGAATGGTCCATCTTACTTGTGGAGATTGGCCTTCTTCCAGCTTCTTAGACTTTGATATGTGTTTAATGTGTACCCAACAATTGTTTTTAAAGCTTTACAAAATGATTTAGAACTGAACAAAAATAGTTATCCTTAGGTAAATAATTAACATTTTGTCATCAAATGCCGAGTTTTTATGGAAGTGTTCTTTCGTATGAAGTAGACCAGATATCAGATATCATAAAGTGCAAAATGAACATTATCTGATTCTGACCTTAGCGGTATACATTTAGCATGGAAAGTTGATTGTTTGAGTCATTTTCTTTCTTGTAACTCAGAGACAACTGAAAAAAACCTTCCTTTTAAAGTATTTAGCATTTTTATATTGCTGGCATTACAGTCTACCTCATCTCATCTCTTGATCATATTATTAAGCTTTCAGAAGTTGTTCCTAGTACTTATATAGGGCCACAAATACTAATTTATAATTTTGATATCAGCTGTTTTCTTTCTTTTAATAAATGTGGGTCCATTCACGTGTTCCTTACTTTTGTGCTGTCGATATAATTGAAAGCATTCACACTTAGACAGGAGGTAATCTGGGTCAAAGAGAAGTGAACAGCAGACTAGTCCAAGTATTTAGCAAGAAAAAAATGTAAGAAACACAGGGGTGACTGACCACATACACTTTGGAAATAATTTCACCAAATAAAATTACTCTGAGTTAATCTACTTTAAGCAGGCTATGCACCCAAGAGTGCTGATAGTTTACAAATGTGCACCTGGTTCTGGAATAGTTTTTGTTCTAAATAGAGTATTCTTGGGAATATATTTGTATCTTGTGACCAAATTTGTAATTGCATCTGTTTCAGATGTTTTGCCGTGGTTAAATTTCAGCTTTTCTCAGCTTTCTGGACTACTCTCCAGTGAGTGCTCAAGAGATTCCTAAGAGAAAAAAGGATTGGGGACTCCTAAGCTGTCAAATACTGTGTTTTTATAAAGCAAAACATCTGAAGCTGAAAGAAGGAGATCAAAATGCAGTATTACCACACTAGCCTGTGGGAACTGAAGCGATAGTGTAACCATCACTGACTAGGTCCAGAGCCATATCCAGTGTTAACTTGGGACAGGCGCGGTATTGGATTAGAGCCCTCTGTTTTCATTACTCAGAAAGTTCAATTACTATCATGGCAGTTATCCCAAGGCTTTTTTTTTCTTTTTTTCTCCTTTCTCAGCTTATACTGAGTGATAATAAGAAGCTGGTCCCAGTCACAATAATCAAACAAGGTAAGTTTGTATATTTTCTTTAATTTATTCTTATACTCTGCAAGAGTAACTTGAGATGAAAATGAATGTCAGGGTAATGGGATGGTCTGCAGCTGGCTCTGTAATAACATAAGCATAGAATGTCATTTTTCACCAAAATTGATATGTCACAGGAAAGAGATGCGCAATTAAGAGACAATGTAGAGGAAACATAGTTTGCAGTCTCTTAAACTGAATGTGAATACAGAGAGGATTATTATGGTGTCCTCATCTGCAAATATTAAGTTGAGGGAAGGTTTTAAGAATGCTGAGGCTTGTTTCCGGTGTGGTTTTGTTTCTCATTTTGAGTTTTTTTTAAAATTAGCTTCACATGCCTGTGTTGTCTCCACAGTTATTCAAAATCGGACGCAGTCAAAAACACCAGACAGTTCTTCTCTCCCAGGAGCAATATTAGGTGACTATAAGAATTTTTATCATTTTTCTTAACCCTTGGTTGAAAATTAGAACTTGGTTGAAATGCTTTTAATTTTCTTGACCTTGATAGTTCTTTCCTTGCATACCAAAGGGTATTTTGCAGCTAGTTCAGACAGTATTTGTTACATTTTATGATGGTACAGATGGTTCAAGAGTGTTGTAGCTTAAGTGAAATAGAATCATTTCATTGTCATTGTATTTAAAAGAAAATAGTGTCATTGTTTAAGCCAAGTTCTTTCATACTTCAAGTGAAGTTCTGAGGCAAAGATCTTGTTGAAATGAGGGATTGTTCTTACTGGTCTTTTAAGGTAGCATGATAACATACCATCTAGAGACACAAACCTGATACATTAGACTACAGTGAACTTGCAATTAGAACTTGATGTTAGATCTAGGGCATAACCCTCCAAGCCATTCAGTTTCATGTTTTATGTTCTTGTTTGACCTATGAGAATACACATTATGAGCTTACAACATGAAAACAGGGGAAAGTCTATCATATAGTGTTCAGTGTGGTGAACTACTGGTTTGCCTGAAGTAGACATGAAAGGCTCACTCCATCATGCACCTTGGGACCAATTTATTCCTGGATTCAGGAGAGTGTTTAGCCCTTTATATATGGAAATATTTTCTATAACTGTGTAACTTTGCCTTAAGTTTGCTTTGTGTTTTAATATATTGATGAGAATCAAACATATACTTACTAATCCAGTTTGGTGTCGAGTCTTCTTGGCACACAAGACAGAATGTCCCAGCATTTGTGATGTTATGTACTCCAGGGTTGTATGTTCCAGTATTGAGTTGTTTTTAACTCTGATTAATCATGAGATAGTGATAATACAGTGAGTGGTATAAAGGGGAAATAGCATCAAATGGGAGTGATAATTACAGAATAGAACCAACTCGTTTCCCAGATACTCAGATTAAACTCCCAGTGACTCAGTAGTAGTTGCTCACATATCTTGGAGGGCAGACTGTGTATTTTCGTCTCTTTTGGAATTAATGGCACACATCTTTCTCTGTAGTGCACCTTATTGTTCCAGGCCTGAATGAAAGTCAGCAGAAACTTTCTCCTCTCCTTACAATAGATGGCTTATCTCCAGCATCCAGGAAAAAACTGGGTAAGCAGAAATGAACTAAACTTTTATTTTTTGTGAACAGTATCAGAAGTGTAGTGATGCGAGATCATGTGTGCAAGCAGAAAAGTCCTTTATTCCTCTTTTACCTTTTTTTTTCTATTTTATATTTAATAATTAGCTTGGACTTATAAGGATTCATAGAAATTCACTTAATTTAAAACAATTTAAAAAAATTTAAATTTTTTTAAGGTACTTCAAGAAGAAATTCTTATGTACTATCTGTAATGAAATCCATTAAAAATGGCAGCCAGAAATTAGAACTCTTCAGTACAGGTTTCATGGGTGTCTTGTGAACATGCCTGAAACCCGGAGGAAAAACATTAACTAGGGTTTTCATTTAGCATCATCATCCTTGAATAGCATACTTGTGGAAAATAAGGCTATATTTAAAAACCTTAATAGTCCCCGAGTACATCTTTCACAGATCCCTTGATTAGAGTTCTGGAGCTGATGGCTTTTGGCTTGACTAGTCTTAATACTTAATTTGAACTTCAAACAACTGGATCAGATTTTTTTTTCTTATTTCTGCTTTGTTTAATTTACTCTGTCACTCCATTACAGGCCATGGCACATTCTCAGCATGGCTTGCTTTGTAGGGGGAAAACAGCAGAGCTTGTTTCTGTTAAGATATTGGTACATGCAAGGGTAGAGCTACCCAGTAGAATAATATTTTAATGTGTTAGAGTAAGAATATGTTTATATTGAGATTGAATTCCTTAAAAATTAGTATTACCAGCATTTAACACACAAATATTTTTCGCATAATCTGTGGCAACTGAAAATTCAAACTAAGTGTAGAAACATAATTGCAGTATTAATATTACAGAGCATTAAGAGTTTTTAGTCATGATAATAACATTAATCACACGTTAACTTGATTACTAATATTTTCTTTGAATATCAAGCATGGAAAATGAGCTCTTTATCATTACTACCTTAGCGTTAACATGTACATAACGTACAGGTAACAAACTCAGTAGAACATATTTTGACAAATCCATTTTTCATAACCCTTACTTTTAGAAAACCATGTTTTAAGACCTCTGGTATCAGTTTTCAACTGCAGTATCTAGAACTTTTACATTTTTTTCATTTTCTGCCAATAAAATTATATCTTTCTGCAGGAAAATGATGCTTTTTTTACAGATAGGTCGTAAGGTTCATTAGTTTGCACAGTAAAAATTGCAGAATGTGACTATGAGCAAAAGATGAGGAAAAAGACAGAGGTAGGTTCAGTTGTCCCAGAGATGTCCAACTTGCTCATCTGGCTGAGTGTAGAACTTGGACTTCTAAATTTGAATACCCTATGTCTAAAATTTCTAGCTGGTGTGATGCCAGTTTGGAGCCACTCTTTATAGCAGGTTACACAAACACCTTTGAGAAAATAACCAGGGCAGACAAGTGATGCTTTGTTATGTTCTGCTTACGAAAGAACATGAAGTACATGGGTATTCACACAAGGGACTCCTGAATTTCAAAGGACCTTAAACCAGGGAAGAGTCATTGTAAAAAGCCAAGCAAAAATACTCTGAGAAATAATATAAATATATCAAGTAATTGACAAAAAGTTGTGTTGTGTGCTGTCTAAATCTATCCAGGTATCTTTCAGTGGTGCCTGAGAATGGTGCATGTCTAAAATAAAAAGCTGTAAAGCTTATGCTGTATGTGAAGTCATGACTAATTCTGATTTGTTGACTTACTGAAACTATTTTAATTCTGTATTATTTAGAAAAATCAAAATAATGTATCACAAAATTTTTAAAAAAAGAATTCTCAAAGTACTTTTTCTTTCTTTTAAGTTAGTCAAAAACCTTACAGTTTGGAGGTTTTGGGTTGTTTGTTTTAATATTAGTAGTCCAGGAAAAAACCCAAATTTTTAATTAAAATAAAAATTAATTAATTCAATTAATTAATTTTCCCTGTATCCACTACTGAAATATCTTTATATCTGTTGGAATAGAAGGCTTTATATCTGTTGGAATACAGGGTCATACCACTGTAATTGTTAGAAGTAATATCAAGGAAAATAAGGACATGGCTAGTATGACAATTCCATTGCATTTGAAATTTTATTAGACTGTTCTTGTATAGCACTTAGAACTATATTGCATCTTTTAATTTTGAAAAACATTTTTGCTGTCTAGCTCAAATGCTAGAAAAATGAAAAACACTGGAAACCATTTTACACTGTGAAAGTAAAGATTCATAAGGCATTAAATCCTTTCTGTAAATTTTGTATTTAGAGTATTTTTTAATGAACAAAGAAAAACCAAAAATTCATGTGCTTAGCATAACTAGATAGATGCTTGTACTGATTGTGCAGTGGAATTTCATTGGTTCCTAAAGGTATTCAGCTTTCCACATTTATCCATGTTGTCTTACCTTGTCAGACTGAAATGGGACAGAAATAAATCTGTGGTAGAAGAGAGTAGATACACTTTTGCAGTTACTCTCTAATGTTTTTGTCCTTTTAGCTCAGAATGAAACTGGAGTATGGCCTGCTGAATCCAAAACACCAGAAGTTCAAGAAATCTCCCCACAGTCCCTTCCAGGTAATGAAAATTCTACTTTTAGAAACTGTGTAATATATTTGCCAAATATATAAACTAAAATTAAATCCATCTTTGTGTTTCTCAATCTGCAGTTAAAGTCAGTAGTTGGAAAACAGGAGGATAGTGTAGCTGAATTGGTAACACTGAATTATTGAATTGGACAAAAATCTGAATCTAAATTTGGAGGAAAGTTTCAGATGATACAATCATTAGGTTTATAAAACCCCTTAGAATTAAAATTGTGGGGTACTGGATATCTTGAAATTGTGAAAAATGACAAAAAGAGTTTTCTTGTGATACACCTTGCCATACTGACTTTAATGAAATGTGGGACCTGGGAAGGAGAGAATCGGTTCATTCTATTTCCTTTCCTTTGTGTTCTGTAATTATGTTTATGTAGTAATTCTAACCACAAACATTGTCATCTCAAGACTTAGCACAGAATTGTATGTTTATGAAGTTGGATAATGTGTTGTATTATACATGGCAATTATTGACAAGTACTGTCTATTTTTTGTAAGAATTTAGTATCCATTTATTACAATTAAATGCATTCTTATTGCCATTACACTAGTAGTTATTTACTAAAATTTTTAGAATAATTTTCATCTTCCATTTCATGCTTCCTTTGTCATTTTGTTTCTATGTCTTTTTTTCCCATGACCATTCCTTTCAGTCATTATTTGTTGTTCCCAGCACCAGTGCCTCATATTAAAATAAGTGTCACACTACTTACATTAAAGAATGTATTAATTACAATTACAGTATTTCAGTTAAAGAAGAAAAAAAAAGTCAGGAAACAGGGAAATGAAAGTGAATCCTCTAAAAGAAAAACATTCTTTGAGTATAATTCTGTCTTGCTGTGGCATATGCAAAAATAACTTGAATACTTAAGCATTTGAGCCAGGCTTTCCTGAGTAACTTAAGCAAGAGTTCTGAGCCCCAGCCTGTTAGAAGGGCTCCATTTGAGAGACAGTCTAATATATAAGCGTAACTAATTGAGTTTAGCAATAGGATCTACTTAATTATATTTCATTCAGATATCACTGTTTGAAAATCATATTGGATTCTTTGAGTAAGGCATAGAAATTGTTTGCTGTGGAAGGTTTAAGGACTGGTGCCAGAAGTGGTAACAGAACACTGATTTGAAAGGAGCTCTGTGCTGTAGCAGCTGTTGTGTCATCAGCCATACTAGAAGGGAAAAAAGGAGCTTGAAGTATTTCAGCAAGCAGGATGTCTGAAGGCTGTTCTTGCATTGCACTGTGTCTTTATCAAAGGGTGTGTTTTGTCATGTGATACATGACAAAATGTATTTGTCAACCAGGCATCCCATCATTTTCTTAATTTCAAGCCTCCCCTCCCTTGGCATGCACTTTCATGGAAAGACTGTTAGTAAGCTCTTTCTTGTTTTTGCCAGGCTTGTTATGATATTTTCCACTCAGGATTAATTTATTATTAACACAGCAGCACAAATTCATAGTGCTTTTTTTTTTTCTTCGGCCTTTGAAATGTTGTCTAATATATCTCAAACCACTGCAACATTTTTTTCTTCCCATTTAATGGAGTGTGAGTCTTTTTATTGAATTCATGGGGAAATTGGAGCCTACCAACACTCAGAATTATAAGCACATTTGCCAGGGACATGGAAGAACTAGTTTAAAAAAAAAAAAAAAGCTAGTTATTTCTTTATGTAAGGGATTCTACTAGAAATTTAGCAAATTTGATTTGTGAAATAGGGAACGAGCTAGAAATAAAAAGTACCACCTGTGAATCCATTAACTAGGGTTGATGTTTAGTTGAGATAACTCCCTTGTTGTCATGTTTCCCAAGTTCTGTTCCTCCTGTCCTCCTTCTGGCCCCTTCTTCCAGACCCTGAAGACTTCCCCTTGTGCTCATGTGGTATATCAGGAGTGACAGTATTACTTTCATCAGAATATCTTAGTTGCTGTTATGGAGGAAGAGAGGGTCAAGAGAAGCTAGAGGAAATATAGTTTAAGAAACATTGTTGAAGTGCATTATTGCTGTATTCTATGCTGTCATAGTAAGGTAACTTACCTTCCTTGGTTGTGTTAACACTTTACTTTGTAGATACACTTGAACCAGTACATTAAGCCTCATTTACCTGGTGCCCTGGAAAAGTCAGAGGCATTTTTCTTTTCTCTAACTTAGCTTTCAGAGCCTAAGTTCTCTACTTCATGTATCTTTTTCCACAAAAAAATCTGCTCTTTTTTCATGTCATGCCTAAAATGTTCTGTGCAAAACTGAGGAGAACTTTGTTTCTTTTGTCCCAGTTCTAGGCATGCTTTATCTTATTCAGATTGTTCAGATAATTTAGCTGGCAAGACATGTTTCACCATCTGACCTCTAAAAATAAATCCAAAGCATCATAAGTTCTGTATTTGCTTTTGGTGTGGAATTGTTTGGGCTTTTTTCATAATTACATCTCGCCAATGAGAAATGTTAACTTCTGTAGTACTTCTGAGGTATGGGTTTGTTAGTTGTTGCTTCAGTGTCTCTTATGGGTGAATTTTCTTCCACAGGTTTCATAGAGATAAATTACTTTAACTTCTCTGTAGAATGAAATCCTCCTTTCACTGATGACAGTAACAGCACTGTTACTGATTTAGAAGCAGAATTGGGTCCTAATAAGGCAGCATCTGTAAAGATTTCAGATTTTGTGGCACTGAAAAGTACTGTACTCCAAAACAGAAAATAGCATAATTGCTGTAGCCATATTTAGAACGTGGAAAACAGTACGTTTTCTCAGGAAATTAAATAAGAAGCTTATAAACCTACATGATCAGTTCTTCTTGGAAGGTTAGTTAATTATGGATTATGGATTACAGATTATGATTCCAAGTTGAACTCGGAAGCTCAGTAGATTATGGAAAAAGCATGGAGACCATGCTGGAAAAACAAAAGTAACTGTCTTCTATTGTGTCTCAAAAGAAAGTGATCTTTTATTAAATTGAATGAATACTAAAACCAATGCTATTTTGATGCTGATCACCAATATTAATGATCTCTTCTAAGTACCAACATGTACTAACTACTGTGCAGTTTGCTCTGTGGAAGGAAATAATGCACTTGTCACATTCAGGGCTGAGACCATGCCATTCTGTGTTCCATATCCATAAGCTTTGTCATTTTGTGATCTGAGATGACCAGTTGTGTGTACTGTATCACTGACTAAATGCCTATGGGATCTACAGCAAGATGAAAGTGATCTTGACTTACTTACCATTGGAATTAATTGTTATGTGAAACTCTGGAAGAGTACAGTTATGCACTAATATATTAAAACATGACCAGTGGTTCAGTTTAGGTACATTTAATGGCTGTTTAATAAACTGCCCATGCTTTACTCTGAAGATGTAGAATTAGAAGAATGAATGGAAATCAAAACCCACTCTATTACTACTAGAAAAATGAAAGAGATGAGGTATTATAGGTAAATATTTACTCTTTTCCTGCTAAATTTTATATTAGCAGGATTAACAAAACATCAGAATAACAGGGGAAATCTTTGTGATTCACATTTTCCTTTGTTTATATAAAACTGTAACAAAATAAATCCAAAAAATCATACAGACACAACTGAAAACAAAAGTAAATATTAATCATGATGGAATCGAGTAACTGTAGAAATTACTTTAATCAGGTGACATAAAATGGTGCAAGGAAAGCACCGGGCTTTGGGCAGTAGATAAAGAAAAGCGTAGAGGGATTCTAAATTAAATGAAACTTCTTTCTTCTAGCTCAGGCTGAGAAAACACATGGACCTGAGGAATTTAAATCAACGCCTAAACCCAAATTGGTGCAAACTCAAAACATATTGGGTAACTAATTTTGCTGCTTTTTACCTTCTTTGTTCACTAGATGCTTTTTTCACCTCCAGCAGAACTTTTCTATTACTTGCTGCATCCCCTTTCTATTGGCTCCAAAGGAAGTACTAATTAAAAAATTCTGGTTCCTTTTGTGTTTCCAGTGATTCACACTGGAATGAAATATAAAGCGGGATACGTCTGCTCTGACTGAACTGTGTCTTTTGCAGATTTTACTGGGTGATTCAATTTTATTTTTCAAATTAATGCTTTCTGTCTATGTGATCTGCATGGTTGACATAACATAAAACTTCCATCTGTAAAATTATCCTCAGTGACAGAATTGAAATAACTACCTCCCTGATTTTCTTCTGGTGACGTGGTCATTTAGGTAACATCAACAGTGTTAGGTAACATCAACATACATAAGGACAATTTTATATTACATGTGATGTAATTGTATTTGCCTTCGAGGAAAGAAAAACTCTACTGATTTTTTCATTTTTTGTCTCAATGTTGTAGTGTTAGTTTTGTGATTTGGAACAGCATCTATTTACTTCTGGCATTCAGAATTCTAAATTCTCTAATGTTGATTTTATTGTTTGTACTTTTAAATCCAAGCCATGCAAAATTATGAAGACAAATCTAAACTTGAGATTGCATTTATTTTTTTTAACTTTGGTTAGCTTTTTCTGAAGTACAGGTGGCCTCCATACAGGAAGATGTATTATAAAGGGAAGGATCAGGAACACTTGCAGGACTGAAATAAAGATCTTCCCATGAAGAGGACAGCTAATGCTTCTCAATAAATGTATTTTTATGTAGTCTTATTGATTCATGTTAGTGTCCTACTCTCAATTTTGTCTTTTTTCATTTACAGTTGCAAGGAGATTTCCAGAATTTACTGAAGCTAAACCGTCAATCTAATTTTCATTTTAACTTTTACGCAGCTTTTCTTAACCATACTCAACCTTCCTTGGTTTTGCCATGCTTTTAAATTTCATCTTTAAAAACTTAATCAAGATGGATTGTTGATTAATTTCAAACTAGGTGGTCACAATTACTGATACAGGTTCATTATCAAATTCCTGTGATTGATAGATCTTTGTATTACAATTAGGGAAAAAGTGGTATATTTCATATTCCACATACCTTTTCACATGACAAATCCATGTG